AAGAAAAAAAAAGAAAAAAAAAGGAACCAGACAGAAGGGATCCGTGTCACTGAAGGAAGGAGCGCTGTCTCGCTGGAGCCAGACGCTGTGATGCCTGCTCCCCTCTCGCCAGCTAACATCATATCCTTCCCAACTGCCAGGTTTCCCCCCCAAAAAAAGGGCTCAGCTGGCTCTTCTCACGCTTCTGCCAGGATCAGTGTGCTCCTGACAGGGATTCAGATGATCTCTAATCCCACCCCAGTGAGGCTGAGGAAAACGTTACCCTGGACGGTAGAAGAGAATGGAGCACTGGGACAATGTCAGGAAAAAAACCCAAACCTGTGCTATGGTTGTGCAGACTAAGAAAGTCCCTGAGTTTAGAGTGAAAATTTCTGGGCAGAGCCTGACCTGTAGCCTCAGGTGGCTCCCCAGGAACACTGTCAAGAAATGGTCATAAACCAGAAATTGTAAAATCTGACTCCAACCTTCAGATACTGCCATTACACTGGGAATGAATTTGCTCATGGAGCAAAAAAGCCACCGAAAGCCCTGAGAAAATTAAAGCAATAAATATGAGATGGGGAACAAGTTTCTCTTGGCTCTTCGTATTTCTGGAATTGTCTTAATCTCTGGATGATCCTGTGGGTTTGTTAAAAGATTCAAAGATCTCAGAAATAACATGTTATGGAAGTATAGGAAACGCCTGACTCTTAACTATACCTAATATGTTCTCCAGCTAGACAGGGGCTTTTGAACAACCCCTTGCAAGACCCCAACATGCTACAATCAATGCATTTAACATATGGGCCTGGATCTAAAAGGGCAGGAGAAATTTTAGGAGTCGACGCAGTGGACAAAGTCCTCCTAAAAACCCTCAAAGACATTTTAAACGGCAGAAGAGACATGCTAGAGATGAAAGCAACCCAGAATACAATATGACCCTACTTTGTTGTTTGAATAGCACCCAGGGAATCTCCCATCATCACAAATGGCAGAGGCACAGTCAAATGTGGCCCTCGCTTTTCATGTTGACTTGTAATGTACTGCTTAATTCACTTAATTTCCCCCCACCTCAGCCTGCACTGCAGCATACCCATTTCTTGAAGGACTGTCAGATGCTGATCAAGATGTAACTGGACTTAATACTGAGTTTACCATTGCATTGAGTTATTTGTCACAAGCCTTACCCCAGCTACAGTGGGGGGCAATACTCAGCTAGCACAGGTCTGAACTTCAAAACAGATGGATGCAAAGTTTGTTCTTGCTGCCAGCGTGAAGCACGACCTGGCTAAGGATGTCTTGGTGCCTGGCCTTGTTCTAGTTGAGGTTGATAGGTATTCTCAAATAAATGGGAAAGGATTCCTCTGTGGGATGAAAACGAGTTGGAAATATTTACAACGTATGAAATCCCACCCACCCACGCACACACTTGGTTTACAACACACTCTTGTGAGAAACGATGAGACAGAAGCTCCCCGACCAGAAATCACACTCTGTATGACTGCTAACTGGTTACTCACTCTTTGTATTTAACCTTGCTTCGGGTCTTTCTGTCTTTGCTAAGTTTTGGCCCAGGCATTAATGCCAGCCTGGAGGGAGTTACGAGCCACTGAGTCAGCCCAGCTGAACCTGTGACAGCTGCCACTAACCCACACGACCTTTGGGGAGCGATGGGGATCTCGCTGCTGCATGTAGGAACTCCCTGGGACTGAGCTACTTTCCAGTAATCCGTGACTGCTGCAGTCACCGAGTGCATCCTGACAGATGCAAGGTGACTCATCTGGCTGCAGCTGGCCAGCCTGTAAGGTTCGCTTTCTCAAACAGACAGCACTCAGAGCAAGATCTCTCTCCTACAAAGCCTGTCCCAGCACAAAACCATCACAAATCACTGCTCGGGTTACCCTGAGGTCTCTCCCTAAGGTCTAGGAAGGAGTATGACATGAGTGGTCACACTAGGTAGTGGTTTAATCATGTGGGACTATCCTTTGCGCAACCAACTCTGTGTTCTTGTATAAGTGTCACAAGAAACATCATCATGGGATGAAGTAGCTGAAGACAAAAATTCCCAGCTGACCTCTCACTCCTCGGTAGTCTCAGGTCTGGAGTAGAGGCAGAATGGCCTCTAAGCTGGGGAAACTGCATGGGAAATGCTTTGGAGATCCAGCAGCAGAGCTGGACAGGCACAAGGGTTTCTGTGCCACAGAGTGGAAAACAAGCAAGAAATGTGGCCATTTCCCATGTGAAGTCTGGGTAAAACTTTCAGCAGTGTCTGCTCTTTCTGTCAGGAGGGGGAGGACTAAAGTGCGTGTGTGCGTGGGGGGACTGAGCCCGCAGAGGCCAAACGTAATCCCCTTTTCTCTGTTGTGAGAATGGAAATGCCATGCTTCTCCTCTAGAATTTCAGCTGCCAGCACCGAGCCTGTCTGGTGGATTCTGGCCGGGACACCCAATCCCGGGGTAACTGGATAGCGTGCCGAGCAGCAGCAAATGCTGGGAGCTCTTGGCCAGGCTGGCCCCCACCTCCTTGTCTAAACTGCAAAGAAATCTCCCTCCTGCTGCTGCTAAGGGATGAAACCAGAGAACTGTCTGTTTACAGCTCAGACAAATTGCCATCATTTTAAGTTCCCTTTTTTTTTTTTCTATCGCCTGAACTCCCTCCTTCCCTGTAGTTGATATTTACCCCTGCAGAGAGCAACCAGATACCACAGATAGCTGGCCAGGAGGATGAGAGGGTTGAGGTGCAATGGGGTTTACCTGTAATGCCATGGAATAGCTGAATTATGTGCAGATAAGTTACACAAAGCATCCCGTATTGAGACCTCACAACATTTTTACCCAGCCCACTACATAAAAGAGGACACTTCCACGAGTTCTCATTCATGCCGTTAGGAGTATTTCTCACATCCTTCCACTAGGAACAGCAGAGGGCTTAGAAAGGCAGGAAGGTAGCAAGATAAGTAAATATAAAGCAGTCATAAAATAACCTGGGTTAGCCTTTCTATGCACAAAAGAAATAGAAGAATTTATATCCTGGTATCTTGGCCCTCACATGATTAAAAGCATTAGGAAAATGGGAATCTCCTCTTCTTGGGGTTGCAAAGCTCTCTTTTCTTCAGGACTGCCAGATAATGTATCCTCTCTTTCCCATACAAAGGGCTTATTGGCTCAGGACTCTATCTTCCCCTAGCCTGAGCCTGGGGGCAGGGTAATTTGGGATAGGGATAAGCTTAGAAAAAGCATTGGTCTGGTCATTTCAATGAGCCTCTGATTTAGTGAGTGGGACTAGTAAGTAGATGAGGAAGCTACAGAAATGGAAATTGCATGATGGACTTGCATATGCCTACCGCTTGTGCAGCTTATCACTTGGATCTCATCCTTAACTTACTCTATGGTGCTAAATTGCACTCGTGATAATCTGAATTAATCACCTGTCCTGGACCGTCTAACCTGCAGTCTGCCTTTGAATTCCATACTATGTGTTCATCTCCCAAGCCCAGTGCTATTAGAAATCTCTTGTCAGAAAGATGTCTCCTCATTTCCTCCACAAATTACACTGTTTGAGGCAATATTCAGCCTCATCCCAGTCACACTCTTACATTTTCTATCGTATGACCATTCAAAGCTAGAATTGGGATTTGTATACAATTTCAGAGAAGCTGCAAAATTTCCCTCTTTCCATTGACACTCAATGTTTGTTTTCACACTCAAAGATCACAGGCTATTGGACCTTAAAATCTATATACTTCTCTGATGTCCCCGTTTATTGGACTCTTCTCTGAACAGTTGTAGCCTTTTAATTTCAGATGCCTACCTAATTTCTCCCCATAGCTTCAAATTATTTCGCATTTCCTGTCTTAAATAATGTTACTGGCCACTCCGAAACAACTGCTGTAGTGCACTTCATATGCCCCCATATTTCACAAGTAACTGAGAGCAAAAGTAAAATGCATTTGGTACCCCTCCAGGACGGCAGGCACCACATGAATACAAGTCCTTGCTGTTAATTTTCAGCATACAATATACGCCTTGTTCCACTTAAAAGCAAATATGCATTTGGAAAACAGATGACATCAAGTAAACCAAAGAGAAGGTTAAAGGCTCTGTCTAATGAGGTGACAGAAAATTAGAATTCTTATCCCAGGACAGCAATAGAGAGTGGGCTGTACTCTCAGGTGGCATACATCCTGGCATCTCCACTGACTTCAGTGGAGGTCTTCAGCTGAGAATGCAAACCTGCTCCTGTAATACACACAGCACAAGCTCTGCTCTCTCTAGACCCGCTGGTGATGGAAGCTATAACCTCTCTACACTGCTAAGGCTTGCTTCTCTGCCAAGTGCGGCACTGACAAGCCACGCACACAACTGGCAGCAATGTGATCAAACCCGGGACAAGGCCCTTTTGGAAGGCAGCTGGGCTGAGGCTTGGAGCACAGATCCCAGAGTTGGGTCACAGGTGCTCTATTCTGAGCTCAGGCAGGGATTTTAAAATCAAGGCTGTATTATATGGGGAGGTTGTGGCACTTTCATAAGTAAGGGCTTTCCATGTTTCAACCAGACTCAGACAAGCTGGCTTCAGCTAATCTCTAAATCAGTTGCCCACAAATCATGGACTACTTCTGAAGTGAGCCTGCAAAAAGTAACTAAAAAAGTCAAAAGTGCTGTCACTAGGCTAAAATCCACAATCAAAGGGCCCACACCTGCACTGGAATTTTTTTTGGAGGGCTAAGAAGATACCACCGATGCTCTGCGTCCCGGTGTTTGCGATTACAGTGTGCTAACCTGAATATGGGAACTAACAGGATACAAATGCTCTGGCAGTACAGTGCTGAGCTCAGGATAGAGATACTGCCGATAAACAAATTAACAAATTGCTTTAACTAGGCTGCCTCCAAGAATTTGTGACAATAACTCCCTTGTTAACCATAATACACTGTGATAGCCTGAAGCTCGCCCTGCTCTCAGAGGATCTGGACCAGCCAAATACCGTCAGCCAAAGAAAGAGAATGGAAGCGGGTTGCATACCTGTGGAGAGAGGCCATTGCTAACAGGATTCATGTGGTTGGCAGGAGCTGCAGCATTCATGAAACTGTCCGAGTAGCTGGAGAAGCTGTGTCGGGCCCCGTAGGCAGAGCCAGTGTCAGCAGCGGCGGCTGCTGCAAGCCCTCCCTGGTGCATGGTGGACGGTGGCAGGGGCTGGGGTCTATGCACAGTGCTTCCCCCATCTGTGGAGAGAGGGTTTGGAGGTAAACAGCTAAAAATGCAAAGCAGGGATTGATGCTCTGGCTATCCTGATCTCAGCTTCTGGATCCCATCATCTCTGTGCTCCATGTGAGTACAAGCATATCATGTAACAGCACAAAACATGCAAACCTGGGATGAAATATCTGAATTTTCTCTTCACTTTCCCCCAGATCAAAGCCATAAATTCGTTTGCAAAGGCCAAGGCCAAAGCCAACTGGAATTAGCAATACTGCTTCCACTGAGCCCCAGTATGGAGTTTTATCCAGAGTCTCACTTTGGACTGATGATACTCACTTGGGGCTGATGTGCTCTCCATTTCAAAGCTAAGCAGAAGAACTACAGTCCTGAGACACACTGACACAGCAGAAAGGACCACGAGACAGAGGAGAAAACTGTGGAGTTTCCATTGACTTGAGGAAAAACCTGGTCTTTCCAACTAAAGGAAAACCACCTCTGTATTACAGAGCCTTATTATGTATTAAGAGCCTTAGTGAGATGTCACGAATCAGAAAGGGAAGGGACGATCGGATGATGTAGGGCAAGAGAAGAGGAGGAGGGCAGGCAAATGGGTGCTCACCTTGGGAAATGGTGGTTGTTGGGTAGGTGGAGTCCGGCAGCAGGTGATTGAAAGCTGCAAGCTGGTTTGCTCCAGCCTGTTTGCGCCATCTCGCTCTTCGGTTGCTGAACCACACCTGATGGGGAGAGGAAAGACCATGCATGACTTACTCTGAGCTGATGTCTCATCTCAGCTGGGTCACTGATGGAAACACATCCTGAGTTCCAGCACTGGCCAAAAATAGGTTCAAGGCACTGCCTGACACAGACTTCGTGAGTATTTGTCTCTGTTCCCCAGTTTCCTTTCTCCCAAATGACAGTACTACTACCGCCCTGTCTCCTAGGTGAAGATACATGCATTTAAAATTGTGAAAGATACTACTAAGAGCATGGGAGGGTGCTATCAGCAGTGGGGTGAGATGAAGAGGAATAATTTAGCTTGTGTATTCCGAGAGAGTTCATACCAAATAGATGCATTGCTACCACCTGGCCATTCTGCCTTGTTATCTGACAACTATGTGAATTATGCTGAAGGATTAAGTACCATAATAGCAACACGGCTGCACTGTTAGGAGGGATAAATAGACAGATTAGCATCATGGTTTCTATGTTAGACAAGCTAAATAGATAGAACCAGACCGGAGGGAATACAGGGTTTTCTTAGCTTCTCTGTACTGCAGCAAATCACTGTTGTCTGTATGCTAAGACATGCTCTCCTTGCAAGAGGCACTGCAGTGTGCACTAGAATTGTACTGCAGCCAATTTAAATCTCTGTGCATTAAAATAAGCCCAGCATTAATGCACGTGCAAAGCTGGGCTCGTGTTTCCTACAGTGCTAGTTTACCTGTAAGACTCAAGGGGAGATTTTTCTAAATGCATTTGCCTGCCCTGATGTGTTTTATCATGGGCAATCTCCCTTCTGCATAGTGGAAAGGGCTTCTCAAGCTGTCTCTTGGGCTTGGTTTACTTCATTTAATCAGAGAGGCTCTCAGGCCCGATCCCTGTTTGGGGTTCAGAAGTATGCGGATAAGCTTTCAAGCCAGATGAGAATGCAGCTGCTGGACTTTGTGAGGCCTAAAGGGCTAGAAAACACGATTAAATTTCACAGCAACAACAAAAAATGGAGCAAAAATCAAGAGTGTAAAGCATTCCAGGGGAAAAAATCCTCCATCAGGCTTCCAAGCTGCTCAACGTCAGATCAGAAGCTGGGGTTACAAGGGTTTGAGGCACTGCAGTCCAAACTGTCCCCAAATCTTGGGAACCAAAACAAAACTCTGCTCCAAATTACAGCAGAACCTTAGTCCAATGTGCTTTGCACTTCAGGCATGATCCAAATCTCAAAGTGGGCGTCTTTTTCTGGCCTTTAAATTGAGTCCCCCTGTAAATGGTCACTTGTTAGTTTGCCTTTTTCTTATTGGCACCTGTGTGTATGTATAGTCCACTCGGCACAAGACGACAATGTGTTTTCACCAAGAGCTGCTTATTTAATGGAGTGTTGGCTCTCAGTCCGCATGCACTGCAGTGGTGCTTGCTGCTAAAACAAGCATACGCTGAGCTTCACACACAAATTTCTGTGAGGTTCTCTGGATCACAGTCTATTATTGCTCTTTCTACGCGTTGCTCATCTACTACTGCACTGTGGAAACAGTTTGGTTAAAACCTGCTAATGATAGTTTTGTGTGACCTGTTGATGATGGTTGGGAACTTCACGTTGTTATTTACACCCGTGTACAGTGAAAACAAAAAAAGCCCAGTTTTCTTATAAGAGCTGGTCTAAATTGAACCCCCTGAAATGTATACAGTGTTGATGTCAGGTCCTTGGCACCAAACACGTCTTTTTACAGACCTGTTCCTACTGCACTGCACTTACTGGCTGAAGCAGCATAACCTCTTAGCACCTTCCCAAAGCGTGACAGAAATAGGTCAGCTCACATCCGATCTGCATTGATCAACAAAGTCCATGCAGGTCAGAATCGCTGTGTCCATTTCTGGCACCAAAGTTGCTAGCAAAATCTAGGACAGAGTTAAGGAGAGAGAAATGAATGAACATTAAGGTCTGTAGCACTTTACAACTCTTTTCTACAGACCAATTCATGGCACAGTTTCTAGGAGCAGTGAGCAACACAAATGAATAAATAACCTTTTGTTTGCCCTGGACGTGCAGAGGACAGTCCTGTCCTTTTCTCATGCATGCATGTATGTGCAATTCATGCTTTGAATTAGGGATAGGGGACTTGGCTCCTCCTCTCTTATAATTTGCTTCCACTTTCACAGTTAAGGACATAAAAACTGTCTGAATATTTCTGTCAGCTGAACATAAGGAGATAAATGAACCTTCTCTCTTCAGAGAAAAAGGCCTAGTCCCAGGCTAGAAGAGCTTCCTTCAACTCCAAAAAAAAAAAAAAAATATATATATATATATATCAGTGCTGAGGATAGCATATAAAATTCAAATACCTGAAGGGAAAACATAACCAAAGCAGCGATGAATCCAGGAATCGAGAGGAAAAGCGAAATTGAACTCCAAGAATGTAAAAGCCACCTCAGTGATTTCTGACACCCTCCCAACATCACAAAGGGTGGGAAAGTTCCTTTTTTATAACCAAGAGCCAGATGCTGGCAAATCCACTCAGGATTAGAAGTTCAGAAGAAACATGTGGAGTGGGATGGTTTAGCACGGGACACGTTTCTCCAACAACATCCCCACAAGTACTCAGCTCCCCTATAGTGGTTTCTCAGTTGGCTTGGCTAACATATGATCAAAACATGACTTTGAAAAGATTTGCCTTCTCTTACATTACACCACGCGAGGTTACTGTTGTCTGCGCACCAACAAGCACGTTTGCACCCGTTGTTCAGAATTAAAATTCACATGTGTGTGTACGACTCCTCCCATCTTGCTTCTCCATATCCAGTTAAGGGTGTGTAGTGCCTTTATATTTTAAGGGAGATAGAAGGATACTCCGGATCCTCTTATAGCCAGGTAGAGACGACCAAAAAGACCTGTGCATGGGCGATTCTTGGGGTGTCTTGCATACTTTGGTCTACAACACACATGGGTTTATGAAGAAAGGAAAGCTCACTTTCAAGACAGTGGACTATCACCACAGGAAGTCAGTTCTTAATTATGCTACGGGCTCCTTCTGCGACTTCGGGGAAGCTACTGCTTTTCTGATTTGAACTCAGTGGAAACGTTGCTGCATTCAACAAATTTTGGTCCTTACACAACCCGTGCATCAGATCACCACATCTAAACTGAAGATAAAATCCACATTTTCTTACACTGTAGTTTATTTCAACAATCAGCCATCTGAGATAGAGGCTCTCTTTAACTGCCAGTAGGCACCACACCCAGCGCAGCAAGATCCCTGTCTTGGCTGGAGCATCATAGCAAAACAAAGAATAAGCAATAATAATAGTAAATACACATGCACCAAATGAGATTCACAACTACATGCTTAAATGTAGTGCTTCCTAGCAGAGCCTGGCTGGAGAATCCAGCCACAAATACACTGAAACCTTCCACAAAGAGATTGATAGGATTTATCTTCCCGTGCAGAGGAAGGGACATTTCATGGCCCAAACAGGTTGATTCTGCTCCTTATTTATAACCCACAGAAAAAAAGAAGATACATTGCAGCTAATGACGTTAGCAATTCTTTCCCTTCCCCCGCCTTAAAGGTGGCTCAGGCCTTTATGCTTATAAATCATTTTATTGGTAGTTAAAATATAGAGGCTAGAGCATCTAACTGTAATGCGAGGCACACTTCAAAGGGAACCTGCTTTCATTTCACAACAGTTAAGGTTTTATCAGCCACTAAAGATTCCCCCTGCCAGAGGATCCTGTTACACCATGTTAAGCCTGGGGTGAAGGCTACGGCTGCTAAAACCAGACTGGTAGGAAGAAGATGAGGACGAGGAAGAAGTTTTGAAGCTGCTGGTCTGTTTGTGGAGACGTTGTTCTAGAGGCTGCTGGGGCTGGATCGTATGACTGAAGTTTTACGCTGGGACAAACGTAGCCAGCACTTAGGAAAAGGGCTCTTGTATAGAATCCAAGAGCAGAAAAAACAGCATGTCAGAAACCTGCTTTTTCTTAAAAAGACAAGTTCTTCGCGATCATTTGTCTGCGCATAGCAAAGAGATCCTGCACTGTGTAAATGTGCTGCTTTCCAAGGGTATGGAAGTATAGTATAGGCCACTGAAGACAACAGTTTGTACCTGCTAAAGACATTTGGGGCTTTTGTCCCTGTGAATTGTCTTCCAAAGAATGTATTAAGTAGACAGAAGATGTGTTATAGAATTGGCTCCGCTCTACTGAGGGGAAGCAGATACAGGAACAGCCTCATGGAAAATAACTTAAAAGAAGATATCCAAGCAGGTTCTTCATGTTCTAGTCATGCCCAGGGTCCAGGTAAGACCAGAGCCCCTCACTGTGGCTCACGCACCTTGCTCAGTAAGCAACTATGCTGCTGCAAGGATCCTGAATATCGCTCAATCCATTACCTTCACCATCCCCTTCGCAGATGGGAGAGGGAGGGAGGCACAGCGAGACTAAGAAACCTCTCCAATTCATCACTGTCTGCCTTGCAGAACCAGCTGATTTCAGAAGAGCCCATCCTCCCAGCCAGATTGGGTTTGGGGCAAAGGTTAGCACTGGTTCTTATTTAACCTGAATGCCTACACCCAACCCTGCCAACGGCCGGCCTGAGATGTCCCAGCCACTTGTTCTCAACCAGCAGAGCAGTGGAGAAGGGCTTCAGAGACAGCTGCCTGCCAGGATGGGGCTGGACTGAATTATCCCCGCAGCCGCTGAGATATGGGTCAGCTCTCACAATTTGTCAGACAAGGAGAGGAAAGGAAGGTCAAAAAGAGCCTCCTGTGGGAAAGAAAGCCTGTTGTGTTCCTGCTCAGCCTAATCAGGACTTGATGTTGGAGAAAGATAGATGGGATAAACGAGCTCATAAATGGAAACAGGGATGGAAAAGCAAAGTCCTGCCTTTGCTCTCCAGCAGAATGGAAGAGATGCAACGTATTTGCTTTCACAGGCCCAAGAGGTTGCAGAAACCAGGTGGAAGAGAGTCACATGGCCATTTGTGGTCCAAGCACACCAAAGTCAGATGAGTTCCCTCCCCAGGCT